GGGCGCTCGCATTTAGTGGTCATGAAAAATTCGACAATTCATTTTCTTTCAAAATTCTTGGTATAGTTTGATAGCCAGCCCCATAAGCTTTAATTTGATGTAGGGGTTTAGGTATCTACAGCTTAAACTGCACGCGCTACATCGCTTGCGCGCAAGACACCCTGAAGGTATACTGTAACCTTAAATGCTCTGAACTAGAGGGGAGGGGCATCTCAATGATATGAAGATGCTGCTCTGCTCATTAGCCACCATATTGAGAAGGATTGACTATAATATTTGTCTTAAACATTATGCTGATTATGACAACACAAAAAATAACAAGTTTGCATATGCCTTGGACAATAAAGTCCTAAAGTGTGACATCACAAAAGAATAAATTTGAGAAATTATGGGATTTGGCGCCATTTTCGAATAGAGCGTCATAAGAAAAGGGTCCTTGCCAAAATTACCTCTTAATTGTAATTCCCAGCCGAAATATAAGGGATGAAAATTTGCTACTGCCCCATATAAATCTCTCTAATTTTGAGTCAGTTCTAAACTGAAGGAACTGAAACAAATTTTGAAGGGTTTGTATGGGTTGCTATCAAACTTTGATCCCTTATATCTCTATCGGGAATTGCAATTCAGAGGTAATTTTTGGGGTGAGGGCATCTTTTAAGATCCTCTATAAGAATACGACATCATATCCTATAATTTCAAAAATTTTATTTTTGTGACATCATCACTTTAGGACTCTATTAAAACAAAATTAATGCTAATAAAAATGTTTTCAATGTTTCATATTTTCAAAATATGGATGACACTTCAGAGGGATGGATTAAGCTCAATATCCAAATTTCTGTCTTTGACACTCACTCACTCACCCATCCACACCTGCCTGCTCGCTTACAATGAATGTTGTTCATCCCAATTACAGTAAACACCCGCATATAAGAACACATGGATTAAGAACATCAGGCTGAAATTTGGCAAATAAAAGATAAATAAGAACACAATCAGTCTGACCTCTGAAATTGTGTGTTCTTATATGCGGGTGTTTACTGTATTACATGTATACTATGTATTGGACCAGGTGTCTGACTTGCTTCTGCAAGTCACCAGCAGGCCTTTAAGAAACTGTTCAAACAGGAAAATAATTCAGATCACTTACCATGCCTTTTTTATTCAACACTTTCCATCAGGCTTGGTGTGTGCTTCATTTGATCACATCAGCTAGTCTAGTCTTGTCTGCGACCCTTTATTTGTTTTGGATTGTTACTGTCCTTGTCTGTCCTCTATCAGCTCCTTAAAGATGATAAAAGGGAGGCTATTAACCTTTGCTTAAAACCACATGTCCAGCAGCTACTGACAGTACCTGCAGAGCTGTGAACAGTGGTAGATCAAGCAGCCCTTCTCCCCCACTGGAACACTGGGGCCCCCCTTAATTGAGCAAGACAGGACCCATCTTCACAGCTTCCTTTTTTACTGGTAAGTGCTAGCCATGGTTAAGTAGGGTAAGCTCACTAAGAAGGTTTTAAATTACCAGCATTTTTGCAGGCTACCCTACATCAATAATACCACCATAAAGTTTTGAAACAGCAACATTCTTGAAGTGTTGACACTCCAGAAGTACTGAACCAAAAAACAATTTCATTTTGATTTGATATCAACAAGAAGTTTGAAGAAGCTTAACACCCAGGCCTGGTTTTTCGCTCAAAAAAGATTTTGTGTTTCTAGCGTGACATTCGTCAGCAGTTTGGTCAAGTGAGGCACAGGTTGAACAGGGTTTTTACAGTAAAGTAGCCTTTCTACAGTATTAACTCGTTTCGAGTTTTGATCCTCCAAGCATAAATAATGTATGTATCATACACATTCCATGGTGCAAAAATTCTCATCCTTCCAATCCTACAACAAACAACAACAACAATCTTTATTTTGTGCCCAGAAAAATTTTACAATAAAAATAAATACATGCAATGTGAAAAAATAACAATGAAAAACAGAGCACAGCCACTTAGAAATAGCTAAGGCTAATCGAGCTAAGTGGCTGGGCCAAGCGGAAAACATATTGCAATAAAGTTACAGAATATATGAAAAGCCTCTCTAAAGAAACACTCATCCCTAGTTCTTTTAATTTACAGGTTACGCTGTGTTCAATAGAGTTATTTAAATTTCCGGTTTCAACAAGTGATAACTTACAGCTTTCAATGCATGACCTTTTAAAAACTGTACATCAAATTGTAAGTGATACAACCTAGTCAGCGAAGATAAAAAAAAAATTGTTTCAATCCTCCTTCTGGAGTCACAATTCCAAAAGCAGTTTGAGTTTGTGAGCACTGAAGGTGTGTGTTAGCAATGGACAAAGAAATAAATAACCTGACATTTCAATTGACCTTGTCCAAACCAGTTCTTTCATCCTTTTCTTTGACTCATGTTACTGAAGTATCTCTGTCGCCAGTGAAGGTAAACCTCATAACCAGCTTCCCTTTTAAAATGTGTGCTTTGCTTTGGTAATTTATTGTGCCATGTGTTAACTTAAGCCTGGTGCATACTTGCACAAGAGAAAGCGAAAGTATAAGCACAAGAAAATGCTAGTGTGCTCCTAGGTGAAATAAGCACAAGCGTAAGCACAAGAAAATGCTAGTGTGTACCTAGGTGAAATACAGAAGCACAAGCGTAAGCACAAGAAAATGCTAGTGTGTACCTATGTGAAATAAGCCCAAGGATAAGCACAAGAAAAAGAAACATTTTCCTTTTTCTTATGCTTTCCTAATGCTTATTTCACGAGTGACACAAGTGGGAACTGGCCTAAAATAAGTACAAGCATAAGTGCAAGAATTCAAACGATTGCCATCTTGTTTCTCCAGTGATGTAACTCACACTGCATGCATATGTGTGAACATGCTTGTGTGAACATCATTGTGCTTGAGCTTGTGCTTATGTGTAATCTGTATATGCTGTACCTACATCAAATAATGACTGCATTAGAGTCAGATTTCTTTTTCTTTTTCAGTTGGTTAAATTAACTACCCCAACCTGACCTTAACTGAGGGGACACTCTTCCTGAGTATTTTTTCAAACGTTTTTTGTGGCTAAGATTTAATTCCAAACAGGGTTGTCAGTAGGTTTTTTGAGTAGCAGGTTCCATCCAAAATGTTGGCGGCTAAGGTGTGCCTGAAAAACTTGCTGCAGAGTGGCTGGTCACGGTACGCACTGCGCATCTTTCAGGGAGACTATGGGAGGGGGGTTGCCCCCTCCGGGGGAAAAAATTTTTGAAAAATGATTCTCTGAGATGCCATGTGGGGCTATTTTCAGCAAACAATGTGTAAATTTGAAGATGGTTTTCTCCACTCTTAATTTCATGATCTGTCTTCTGGAGTGTACCTTTATGAGATAGTGATAACTGAAGTCATGTTTAACCGGACATCTTACGGTCAATATGTATCTCACTACCTTCATTTTCCTTACATGCCGTGCAATTACAAATTCTAAAAAGCTGTAGTGCACATGACGAAAACTACATTCTCTGGCACAGTATATCATCTTGAAAACAACTTGTCTTTTTCAAAAAAGTTAGGGAGGCAATAAAAAAGAACACTACTGAGAATAAAATCATCAAGAGCCCCAGAACAGAAATTAACATTTTACCTCTTTACTAATTAAAAAAAAAAAGACGTTATCCGTCTCTAGCCGATAAATTTGGCAATTATCGGCTTTGAAATTCTCAATATTTTGGCGACACGAGTAAGAAATTTTACAGTTAAGCTTATTTGAATTTCCAACGGTCAGCCGCGATGAAAAGAAAAACTAGTACAACTCACTTGGAGTGTTTCATTCAACCACGTTAAAGGTTAACTTGGGCAATAAAAACTGCGAAAATCTTTCTAAATGGCAGCGTTTATGCTTAAGCTTACCTTTGGTATGACTCTTGCATTATCTAGGAAGTTCTATTTGCCAGCGTTGTTTAAAACGTGGTCTCTATTTCAGTGTTTTGCAGCAGCTGAAGCTGCCCAAATCCAACCAGACGAAGACAAATACATTTTAAAACTCGTGTGATATCATAAATGGCGTCTCCGTCATAGCTTTGGCGTCAAAATATGTTCAAATACGGTAAATGAAAACCGAGAGCTTCCTCCGCAATGTTGGGATTCTCTTTCGTTCCCAGCTTTCCCAGTTTCTTGTTGTTCACGGAAACGAACGCGGCGTGTCACGGGAAAAATTGACGGGAAGACGGTTTAACGGGGGAACTTACGCGGGATCACGTTCATTTACGTTTTACGTTTCTCTTTCCTTTTTTTTTCTGGTTTTGGTGGAGGCCCAGGCACAGACGGGTGAACAGACCAAGGCAGTCGGGGAGTTTTCAAATGCAAATGACATTTATCTCATTTTACAGTCCACACATTAAGTGAAGACTAATTAGATATAAGGCTCAAAAGGCTCTTAAAAGTGTCAAATATTCTCTAGTAATCTAGACGTTTCGGGCTTAGCCCTTTTTCAGTAGGTGTAATGATTGAGCCACGCCATACAAAAAATTGTACGCCTACGCACGCACGGAAAGCGCGCGCATGAAGTACAAAGTAAACAAGGGTCAAACAAGGGCGTACTGCGAAATAGGGAAACCAGCGCCCTGAGGGAAACCAATTGCTTTAGCGCGCGTATGTGTAATACGCGCTAGACCCACAATCACAAGAAATTAAAGTTAATGTTCAGTCCGTTTCGGTCGAAGCGTGCCCAGCTTGAAGATTAATTTCATTTCATGCTGCTTGCGGCTGATGTTACTGCCAGAGCCGCTGTTTCAAGCCACAGACTATGATGTCATCCAGAGAGTGGGAGGAGGAGTTGAAATGTTCAGCTACGGGAAACCCGCGCGATCGGTTTCGATTGCTGCGAAGGTGCTCGCTGAAACGTTCTCGTAGTCGCCTTCGAGTCTCTCTGATGTATAGGCAATTGCAGCGACGACAAGAGATGCAATGCACAACATTCTCAGACTGACAGGTGAAGTGGTCATGGATGTTGTGTGCGCTCTTCGGGCCTTGTAGAAAAGTCTGCGAAGTCATGTGCTTGCAAGTCTGGCATCGAGGCCGTCGACAGGGCAATGAACGACCGAATTCGATTGAACTTCAACCAAATGTGGTCTTGTGTCGACTGCCCATAGAGTTAAGGAAAAAAGAGCACATGAGGAATGTGAAGTCTTACGAAAGAGGCTTGGTCTTCAAATCACTCTATTGACTTAAAAAATTCTCAAGTGAAAGGCCATTTTGCTAATGCAAATATTTCCTAGTTCCATTTCCTTGTGGGGGCAAAAAGTGATCGCTCGGCCAAAAATGGCCTCTTTAACCAAGAGAAAATGCCTCATTTTCTCTTGCTTAAACTCATTAAAAAGATCTAATTTTGCCCCCACAAGAGACTGGAGCTAGTATTAGCAATATGGTGTATTGACAAGGGTTCTTTCCGTATTTGCAAGACGCTAGAATCATGGCGCACCGATTCGATAAATCATGCAGATAACAATTCAAGACCGCTCCGCATTCAATACTCTATTCTTTTGAAAAAGAACAAATAGCTTATTGACCCTTATGTTTTTCCATTTTAATGTATTCTTTTATAGTACCATATATTTTTGTATATATTTGTAGTTGTGAATTTTTCCATTTCAGTTTTTCCATTTAATATACATCAACAGGCGAAAGCTCGAAAGTTTTAACTCTATATAGTCAGTGAACGGTTTTTATCCCGGTGAACGGTTTTCTCCCGGCTACGGTTCTTCTATTTGTAAACAATGTAGTTGTTACAAACAAGCTAATCCTGATTTTGTAATGTGTCGTTAACAAACATTTCAGACCTGAAGGAGATTGACGTCTATTTGCTCGTCTAATTGTTTAATAGAAACACGATTTTTAACCAATCATCACGCGTATTTTCTTAGGACTGTTTTTTAACACCTTTTATCTTTAAACTTAGTGTTATCCTAAAGTTTTAATCAATAAAAACCAAGATTGTAACTTTTATATTACTCACGTTACCTTATTTTGGTCAACCACTTGGAAATTGATAGTTAAAATCTAGGAAGAAAATCTCTTAGTCACTGCGTATAGCTTCGAAGGAAAATATGCTAAGTAGCTTTGCACGCAATCTCAATAGAACCTTATGCGAACTGGGCATGACATTACGTTAGCCTAAGATTGACAGTTTGACAGTGATTTGATGGATCATGTGGTTGTCGCTTCAAAAGGAACGTGAGGAGTGAACTCTTCAGTAGTTGTTGTAATCAGTCAAGAACAATTGTAGAAGAACGTTGAGAGTACTGTACTGAAGATATCAGTTGAAATAAAAAGAAAAGTAACCAGATTTGGTAGAGAGTGTTGAAGTACAAGATGTTTCCTCAAACATGCACTAGTGGGTTGTTAAATCATATGTTTACAACGCTTGGTGTTCCATTTGCTCTGGTATCTCCGCCGTTTCTAAGGTCTTCGCATACCGGTTTCGTGCTAATGAAGAGGGCTTAAAAAGAATCAAGGCATGGCTAGATGGGCATTTTTACAGTAACGCAGGGTGAATGCCCTTTCTTAAAAAGCATTTTCACATCAAACTTACTACAAACGGAAGAAAAAGGAGATTATACAAAAAATGTATCTATTCAGTTTGACACGAGAGAGGAAAAAATAAAAGCGGCGTCCCACGACTGGCGTGGAGCGTATATATGCCCTTCCAACCGCACAGCAAGTCAGATGCGTAACCGATTGGGCTACCGGGGGACTCCTTGACTAGATTAGAAAATTTAATAGCTAAATACGTTAAAAAACAATATAGTTGTTCCTGACAACCTAATCTCAGCCTTTACAAATGTGTCGTTAACAAAATTACAGACCGGAAAGAGATTGGCGTCTTAATAACTTATCTCCGCTCTAATGATTCTCTGTCCTCTAACAATAGTATTTCCAGGCCAGAATGAAACCCTTTAATAGCTGCCAAAGCTTAGACAAAAGTCTAGGTCTGTGCAAAACTCCCAAAAAATTAAAAAAAAAAAAATTATGAAGCCTGATTTTAAATAATTTTGAATCTTTAGAAGGCTTTCTTCATGTCGGTTGTCAAATCATACGTTTACAACGCTTGGTGTTCCATTTGCTCTGGTATCTCTGGTATCTCTGGTTATCGCATACCGGTTTCGTGCTGAACAAAGAGGGCTTAGAAAGAATCAAGACATGGCTAGATATGCATTTGAAGGAAGGATTGATTGTTATTAATATTTAACTAATGATTGATGTTCAACTAGAATCAATATCATGCTGCCACTCAACTTGATTACTCAGATGTATAGCTTGCATCTTAGAATAATACCCATCTTGATCTTTCCAACTTGTAAGTCAGTTAAAACTAGTTGCTGGCTGTTTTTGCGCTAGGAAGTCAGTAATTTAATAACAATTTTATATTACACCGTTAAAATATGCCATTTAAAATGTTTGGCAGCTTGATGTTAGTAGTTCAATTCATACGATTATATATACAAATTAATCTCATTAGCATAGCCTGAGCATAGATTACCTTTGTCCGGGATGTAAACAAAACCTGACAAAACGCCTCCTCATTCCGCCTTCTGGCTCCGATCTGCGAGCAAAACAAAGCTCGTTATACATTAGCTAATGTTACACATCAAGTAATGTCACTGGTTCAAATTGTTTCAAGCAAGACAAAGTTTTCTTAAGACGAGGATCAAACCTTTGAAAAGTATTAACTGTAATCTCCAATAGCGGAAACAAACTACACTCGCAAAGAGCAGTGGGAGAAAAATGTGGTAAGAGGGGAGGGGTGGGAAAGGATAAGAGAATGTGGGAATCCGGCTGGAGCTATGAGATACAATTACAGCCCAATTCTCAGCTATCAGTAAATTTTGTAGTCTGTGAAAAGGCTCCGGCTGGAAGGAAGGGCGGAGAAGGATCTGGCCGCAGCAGGATGATTCTCGGCCCTTCTTTCCAGTCAATTCTCAGCTACATCTAGCCTGCGTCACAGACAGTCTAAACCGCCGGTATATACTATATCGGGGATTCTATGACACGTCCGGCTGCAACGCAGGCTAAGCTACATCATGCCTGTGCTGTATGTCCCTATCATTTTGTTCCTTTGTTTCATAATATACGACCAAGTGACGATCCTTGGCACATGGCAAGGACGGTTGGCGTGTGCAGGGGGGCGGAGAAGGAAAGGCCGAACGTCATGCCATTAAACCATTGTATTCTTCTGCAACCGATGCTCTCAGTCAGCTTGGCTGGTTAAATTTAAATCAACGCAGGCACTTCCATCGCTGCTTGTATGTTTATAAATGTGTGAATGGAATTACTTCTCACAAATTGGAATTATCTAGAAATAGCGATGTCCATAGATATAACACTCGCTCCAAAGATCATCTTAGACTTCCAACAGTAAAACGGAACTGGGGTAAACAGAGAACTTGTTATCATGCCTTTAAAGACTGGAATGCCTTGGACAGTGACTTGAAGAACTCTGACACCATATGTCAGTTTAAAAGTAATTTTTTTAAATCTATTAGTCTATGATTTACTTTTGTATTTTTAATATATTTTTTTAATTTGTGTATTTATATTTTAATAATTTAATGTTATTTTGGATCGGGACCTTTCTGTAGATCACCTACGGGTGAGAAAGCTTCCCGTTAAAATATCATTAAACAAGCGCATGTACATACACGGTAGATGTATCAAGCGACTGTGAGACATAAAACCCCGGGAATGAAATAGTCCAACAACCTTCGTTCATCCCCGGGTCTTGTTCCTCCCTTTCGCCTGGAGTGAGAGAACAAGAGAAGCTCAGAGACCCTGAGAGGGTGGATGATTTACGGCGATCTTCTTTTTTAATAGCTGAGCCAGGCAAACACAAGCTAATGTGTGGAAAATTGTCGAGTCGGTCATTTTTAATAATACTTAGTTAATAATACTTCCTGTTTGACTCCACAAGATTAACTTCAGGGAAAGCTGACCAGATTCTTTGAATTGCCCCACGGAAGGGTCACGGAAGCTATTGTTTTCCAATATTACAACAATGACGTTGAATCACACAGAGTCCTGGGACCTACTGGCAACATTTCAGTCCAGTCATTCTCAGCAGGAGTGCTGTAGACACCCGGAAACATAAAATATTTATCACTACACACCTCACCACGCCCAAACCCGACGACACCAAAGATAGGCCGCAAAAAAGCGTAGGTCAAGCTAGGAGAGAGAATTGATTTTTCAATTTGAGCACATCTTCCTTTAGTTTGTAAATACTTGCGTTGCCACTTTACAAAATTCATCCGGTACAGTTTTTAGTTCAGGTTATAACCTACAAGAACATTTATATGTAAACTATTGTATTTTCTAATTCCTGTTTACACAAAAGTCTGAGATAGAGATGTTTTTGGAATAAACAAGTAATGACAAAATTTATATGTACCGTTCACTTTAAGGAATTAATCACGAATAACCGAGATTCTTCGAAGAAAGTTCAAAACTTCCGAAGACAAGGATCATTGTTGACTCGTTCTCCTTTCTGTCGGGAACGAAAAAAAATCTCTGAGTCTGTAAGCTGTGGCTGCAGATGCTGCCAGCCACTGAGATAACAAATGATTGATTTGACCTTCGACACCGAAATAACCTTGAATACAACAGATTAAATGCAATCATAATAATGTCATCACGAACGCAGCAACTTTTTCAACCTGACAGAGTTTTGCAAAAGAAGCAATATCAACAGGGGTTCTCTGGAAATGAAGAGTTCCAGATAAGCGTTATGTTTTATTTGACAAGCTGGTGAACAGCAGCTTCTAAATGAGCGCGCATCGTATTACAAGTGCTTGGGTGGAATCTCCTTGTCACTACCGCAAATGCCAAGAATTTTATTTTCAACGGATCAGATCACTGAAAGCGAGTGTTGTGTCGTAATGAGCATGGCCGCGGTGAACTGCGCTAGGAAAGTTTTAAGACGGCGAACATTTCGCATGTGTTCGCTGTAATTTCGCTGCGGAATTCAACAGGAAATCGAACTGACAGCTTGAGGTGCGGAGTTTCGTAACTCGAGCTAAATAGCACGGCAGAACTCCGCGAATAATTTCGAATTTTCGCGGAGCAATTTGCGGACACATCACAGAATATGAGGCAGTATTTGAGGATAAGCCGAACTGTCTACAGGTAGGAAACATTCCGTGTTTTATCTGGTGCTGTAAGGCCACGATTGATGCGATACATGGCGACGCGGAACGCTGCACTTCTGTTCTAATCGCTGATGAGAGTGATGTGGCGTTGATTTGTAACCTTCTTCTTTCCTTTCTTGCCATTAGAATCCCAACATGTGTTCTTATCTTTCTCGTCGTCTTCAGTTGCGTTATACGCTCAGGACAACAGGAGGTCAGTTTGAATTCTTGTGCTTGTTACGTCCACATACCATGATTATTATTGTGGTAATTTGCCAATTTAAGATATGACGACCGTTTTACTACTCTAAAGGCTTGTGTACATCGCGCTCAAGTTATTTTTGTAGACGTATGTCTGGTTTCGTGACAAGTGAAGTAGTGTGTTTATCTGCCAGAGATGTTATAAGTTTTTTTGGGTCGAGAACTTGAACCACAATCTACGAAGAATACCTTCTCATTTAAATGAGCTTAATTTCCGCAGGACAGGCGAGGAAAGGCAGATCAGAGCAACACGCGCTCACTGTTTTAAAATCCAAATATTTATAGCGTTTATGTGCCAGCCTGATAGATTTTGGAAGATTTTAATCTCTATTTTCTTTGCGGGACCCAGAAGATTAGAAAGATAGCTGCCGTGTGACGGTAATGATATTACTGTTTGTTGTCAACTTTTTTCATTTCGTCCTTCAAGTATCAGTGATAGTGTCACAATGGTGACATGCTGGCCAGAGTTTTAGTTGTGTGAGGTCCAAATCAGAGTTAAACATCCTGTGCATTGAGGCTCACATCCTAATAATTTGTTTTTTGACAATATTTCTGATAACTTTATTCAAAGTTTATCACAGGTTGTACCAGCCGTAATGTTATTTGGGATATTTAATAGTTTGTCAGTTTCAGCCAAATGCTTGCGCTCAAATAGCTTCCGCTTTTAGTTGGCTAGATGTCAGAAGGAGAGAAAAAGAACCAGTATCATAGACACACACAACAGGAATTAACAATTCCAAAGGACAGACTTACTGTTTCTACACAAAAGAGTACATATAAATGCATAGGTCTACGTTGAAACTTTTCAGTGAGGAAACCTTTTTTCAGATGATGGGTTGGCAGATATTAGACCTTTTCAGCTTGGGCGGTTTGTTGTCCTATTTCAGACCATGTGATGATACTCTTGAGAATTCTTGCTGTCAAATTTTCAAATAGTCGCGCGTTCATGAAGGAGTAATTTCTAGCCTGGATTAAAAAAAAAAAAAGCAATTTTCTAGAGAACATCCGCGGCATGGTCTGTAATGGGAAAACAAATCGCCCGGGCTAAAAAGTTCTATTGCAGTTTAGTCTATCGATACAAATGTTTCATGAATGGTCTCAATTTGCTGGTGATAAATTGCTGAAATCGCATCAACCGCTGACAAATACGTATTGTTTTCGATCGATTGTAATAAATTCCTACGATAACTTCCGATACTGTACTGTTCGAAGGCTTTGTTTGCGTTTGAAGTACTTCTCCTTGGCGTTTGAAAGCTTAAATATTTAAGCGTATATTACACACTGTTGTAGGTTCGTGTGCTTCAGAACATCCAAGATATCTGATAGAAATGCACTCGCATACACATTTTGTTGCAAATAAATTGTAGCTGACCGGAAACTTACGGCCCTGACTGAAATACGTTCTTTTTTCCTTTTTTTTTAAGGGTCATTATTTTTATTGGAATACGCATTACTTACAAAACTAACATTACTGGCAATACTAACATTACTTACAAAACTAACATCGCTAACAATAGCGACCTTGTTCACAATACGGTAACATCGCTTGCGATACTTACTCTACTTACAATGCTAGCATAACTTACAATACTAAAATTACTTGCTAATTTATACCACACATTAATGTCACACATTTAGGTAGAAAATTAACGGGATACTGGATATTTGGATCAGATAAAATGGGATATCGAGTACGAAAAACGTAGCCTTTACCAGGCGTTAAGTTAACTAACTTTATAACGCCTGGAAGAGGCTAGGAAAAACGTTAATTTTTGCAACTGAAATTAATGGGATTTTTAGGCCAAAATTAACGGGATGTGGGATACTTAGACTCCTCCGAATGGGGTCCCTCTAATGTATCGTGGTTCAGTCATTCTGAACTATCCTAAATCAATTAGAAAAACTTCTTCTTAACTCCTGATCTAAAATTGATCTTATCCTATCTTAAATGCTTGTGCCTGTTCTACTTAATTTACCTTATTACTTTAACCATCAGATCCTTCTCTTTGTAATTACTTCGACATTACTGTACATAGCTATCAACCGCCGTGGATAAAACATGACGATGAAATATAAATTCTTCTTAATGAAGACTAAGTACAGTTCTTATTAAATGATACAGATGTTTGAAGCGAGATATTTGCTTGAAAGGCGCCCATTTCTTCATTATTTAGATACTTGATATGTTTTAGGCAAGAAGTCCCATATGGCGGACCTACAGTGCAAAGTACAAAAAACCATTATTTTTACGTAAACGAGGGCATTAAAAACGCATATCGGACCTCAGTATCAGTTATTACCTGATAACTATTTTGTATGAATTTGCACTGACCTATTCAAAATTTACTGAACAAAGCTTATACCTATGGCTTTACGTTTAGGTTTCGAGAAAATAGTCCGAGTAGTTGAAATTATTCCAATTGCTGTGTAATAGTTACACGTGCATGCATGACCTATTATTGTCTTATTTGCATTAAATTACCTCAAACATCGAACATTCAGGAACATTATATACAACTATTTACGGACTGTCGGCACGTAAGATATCCGGGTCGCAATTGCAGCTCCCAGACATTCCTGCTGTCCATCCTTATGTTTTCTCGGTTTCTTTTGTGACCTGGTAATCTACTAAGCAAGTTTATTTGGGCTTGATTGCAGGATGGGCTCAAAAAGCGTTGTTGTAGTATTGCATAAAGGGCCCATAAAGTGGTAGAAACTTATTGAATTGAAGATCTCTTGCAGCAAATACTGATCATGTCTGCCCGGTTTTCCTGGCTTAGTAAAACATATTTTGACTTAGCATTGGGGTTATCATCTACTGTTTGTCTTTGCCTATACTTAGCAGATTAATTAAATTCTCAGAATATTCCAGACCATGAAATGTATTGACAGAAATGACTGAAATATTAATGCTTCATTGTATCCACTTTGTTTATTCCGAAGTCAAAGCCTGTTTCTTCAGCATTTTGGTTGTCTTTCATTTTTAGTGGAAGTTGTTTGCCTACTTACTGACAGACAGGTTTTTCACTGTTCAGTTCCTTTCTGGAATAATGCACATTTTTCATGCCTGGCCCCGATACTCTTATGAAAAACCGGCTATCACAAAAATGTACAACAAACGGAAAAAAGAAAAGATTAAATGTACAAATAAATTACTCATTGCCCAGATATTAGCCCTGGGTGCGTTCTGGTATGTTCTGTAATTTAACCTTTCTTTGTCTCACCTCTATGTTGTATAGAACACGAAAAAAGGAACATTGTGTTTTAGAAGCGACTAAACTATACAATGATTAGAGACGTTTTCTTCTCAAATTATTCAACAACGGTTGACGAACTCGACCATTCACTTTGCATCCAGCCGCTGAAGATTACTACAACATTAACGTCACTGTTAAGTTTATTTTTTCTGTTCTTCGTTCATTTATAGCTTTTGGGTATGTAACGGTACACATTTAATACTTTTCGTTAGTATGTTTTGAAGATCAGTTCAGAAAATCGATGTTTCTGTGTTGATGTGGGAATTTTCTCCCATCGCTCAAAAAAAAAAAAAAAGTAAGCATTTTGATCGGTAATTGCATTAAATGAATTTTATACTAAACTTTGTGTTTTGAAATTTCAGACAGATGATCCTTATTCCTTTACAACATTATTTCAAGGTTTAGAAGGTGACAATGTACGAGAGAGAAGAGCGGCCGAGCAAGATGGTAAAGGTTTTTTTTTTAGCGTTTTTGTGTTTGTTTGTTCTCTTCTGGGCTTCGTATATTAATTAAAAAACAAGAAGAAGAAAATTTTTAGAAGGTTAGCAGGAACACGCGCATCTTTCAAGAAACTTTTAAAAGTGTTAGAAGGGGATTTTCATCAAAACTTAATTGAACCTTGTTACCTTTTGTTTTCGATGTCGCTTTCCTTTCGTAATTTTTCTACGGTGCAAAATGAAACAGTGTTTGAAAAATTAAACGGCAAGCAGCGGAGCGCAAAAATCGGCGATAAATTTCCCCTCGCGTAGTATTTGAGCAAACGAGGGTGACGGCCTGTAGTGTTTCTGAATGATGCATTGCTGCGCATTTTTTGATTGCATTTGAGCGTTGATGGCTGAGAGGGTCATTCGCCTCAGGGCCCTCATCTGGGAGGTCGGGCCATGCGTAATTGGAAGCTAAGATGAAGCGCGCTTTTTTCCTTACTTTTTTTCGTAAGACGTAATTTAAAAACAAATCTGACTCTTTGACGGAAACTTAAACTTTTGACGATGGTCCTATGATCATATATCAGGAATCGTTCTAATACAACTTTTTTTTTCAAAAAAATTATGATACTGTCCGAACGACCTGTAAGCCCGTGCTCATTTGATCAAATTTGGCAGGTGGCAGCTATCAAATTTCGTCTTGATATCAATAGAAAAACAGCTTTAGAAACGAATGAGATTAAACCTTGGCTGTTATCTAATCTGTAATCGGGGTTAATCGGCTTTTGTACAACCTGAGCCAGGTCAAGGAGAAGATTAGCGTCTTTCTTGCCAATTTGATCTTATAAGCGCCCCGTTTTGTTAATGGTTTGAAACATTAGATGGCAATATCACACTTTATTAAAGCATTGCTTTCTCTTCGGGGCGTAGCGACTACATACGCAGGTACACACGTGTATATCTCAGGAAATCCAGTATTGACGAAAAGCGCCTTTAATAATTAATTCGGCTGGTTTGGCAGTCTCTAGTCTCTCCTTAAACCTACTATCAGTTATCCAAAGGTTGTTATTAACACAAGTTACTAAATAATCAAGGTTTTTTCATGTTTTTTACCGCGTGACCTCAAGAGGTGTAACTAAGTTTCGTTTACAATACTGACTTAGATCTCAAAGTCATGACACAAAGCTCACGAGAAAAGGAGAGCAGGCAATGAATAGAGTATTTTTTTTTCTTCGGGGGAAAAGGGTGAAAGAAGGCTTGATTACTAGAATGGCCTAGTGGGAATTCCAACAATTTGAGAAAGTAAACACGTGTCTCATATTTTTCCTTTATATACATTAAATAGGTACTCCATAGTAAATTTGAGTTCTTTATTTTTTTGGATTGTATTTCTTGTGTGTGAGTATTTCCTTGTTTTCTCTCTGTTTTGAGCAAATTTAGTATCAGTTGTGATTTTTTCATTGTTTGTTTCAGACGTTTTGGAGGGAAGTGGTCCGGTGACGCCTGACGAAGGTCAGAGAATGCTGCAGTGTCTAAAAATATTCCGTTTATGTTACTATTAAAGCTAAAAAGCAGTTCACACAACGATTAACTGTAAAACTTCGGTTAGCCTAAAATTTTTTGGTCAACCGTCAAACTAACAAAGTCCGTTCAAATGTTGATTACCGTGCATTGTCAGATCTTATGATTAATTTCGTGGAAGCATTGACGTAACAATGAATCCAAAACGAATGGACGAAGGAACGAAGAAACCATGGAATCAAGGAATGACCGAACCAACAAAGAAAGGTTGGAGCGATTTTCGTTTAACCATGAAAATTGTCAGTTTCCAAGAGTTCGTTTCCCTGATCGCTTTCTTCGTTTGCTTCCCCATATGATTGAGAATACATCGTTCAATGGACCAATCAAAACCGGTGAGGTTTTCGTGACGTCAAGAGAACACTTGTGTTCCTTGGCGTTCACTTTACCAAGAAGTCAATTTTGCTCCATCTCTCTTAATTGTTTTGTTTGCGTTATTTTCGCGCGTAATCATTTCAAGGCCAAATGAAAATCGCCCTATAAACAAACAAACGAGCGAACGAACGAACGAAAACCGAAACAAAGGAGCAAACATACAATCGAATGAACAAAGGAACAAACGATCAAACGTACGCGTTTAAATAATGACCAAGCGAGCGAACGACCGAATGACCACATGATCGAACGACCGAACGAATAAATGAATCCAATGGATAATTGATCATAACTGAATGAATGTAGATGAATCTTTTCCAAAAATCTATTGACTATGCACGCGTGCAAAAGTAAATTTCACGGTGGTAAATTGAGTTTACTTATCGAATCTTTTTTGTCCCTGCATAGATGCACCTGTGATAGTGGTCAGTGAACAGAAGAAATTTGTAGTCAAAAAAGTCGGCAGACTGTCCGTTGACGTAGGGTCAACAGTATGGGCTGTAAGAGGAACCGAAATTGCCGTATCATGCAGAGCCAGCTCGCCATCTGGTATTCCCACCAAGATCGAGTGGCTCAGATCGTATGGGGTTCCTGTGACAGAGAGATTCCGAGGTGGAGTGGGCGCTAGAGAAGGAACTTTAACGATTCGTAAGTTAGGTCGGTTTAATGAAGGCACGTACACATGTAGAGCGTCAAACAAAGCTGGATACACCACGGCCCTGTTCACCGCTAAAATTATTAGTAAGTATATTAACATAAAATCTTGTTACAAATAGTGTTGTTGGGAGACAATGTATCATAGACAAAACAGACCACGCTTACATTTCCTCAATGTAAGACAACAAATGGTAATGAAACTAAATATAATTGATAACGTAAATAATATCACCATTAAATAATCGATCTATTCCCCTATGGGCTCGGCAACACTTTCGATTGGCTGCTTCTGAGAGAGACTGGGAAGGTATATATGAGATTTCCCTCTTTTTGTTATGACAACACCATATATGGTACTGCTCAATATATGTTTTATCCTGAGACCAGAAAGTTAGAACAACCTCTTTCAACAACTCGAACACCGCCACGTGAAAACATTGCTCAAAGCTTACATTTGAGTGTCGCATCCGCGGAATTACTTTCAAAACTTAGAATCATTATAAACAACACATGCCGGAATGCGCTAGTTTTTTTTTAACATAAAATGTTCAATTGATCATGTAGGGTTTGACTGTGGATGTCCCGCTGATGCGGAGCTTATTACAATCTTGCAAAACGTAGCCTTATGTTTTCATCATTACCCACAAGTGATGTAGTAGCTTTTTCTACGCCACTTAATACCATGCCATAGAAATACAGCGAATCAAAATACAGGAAAGCCGTTGTATATTCGACGGTATTACAACCAACCTTCCCATCATGCGCCGCGCGTGTGTCACATTGATTGCCGTTTTAGCCACTATTTTCTATGGCATGGTATAAATTAGTTATGCAACGCTGTCTCGCGCTATACCATGGAATAACCCACTTGTCACTTGTATTTTCTTGGTATGCACGCTCGTATGTATACTGAGAAAATTCTAAGTGACTCGTGGGATATTTCATGGTATGCCACAGCGGAATGACAAGTCTAATATCTATTTTTGATATCTTCTTCTCCTCTAGCTGCATCTTTGCCCACAATACTCAAAGGCGAAGGTGACTTCTCATTTGGACCCAATGATAAAGTGGCCGAGATCACGATAGGAAGTGAAGTCACAGTTTACCCTGGAACAAAGCTTACAATCCGCTGTCCCGTGGAGAGTGCGGTCAGTTTTATCGTTTTCTGGACTAGCCAGGGAAGGCCTGTCAACATTGGAAATGCACAAAGAGTCGGAAACGATCTTGTGATAACAGACATCGACAAAAGATACGCGTTGGAATATGAATGTAACGCCAGGGCCGCCAGAGGGAAAGTCAGTGAAAAGTCGACTGTTCGAGTTAAAGGTGTGGCAAATCTTCAAACTTCTTACCCAACATATGTTTTGTCATTTCAGTTTCTTTCTGCATCATGATAATGCCTCCGGAATCTTGAAATTAGTTGAATACGGTATCTCACGTAATGACATTCGAGTAAGATATGCCAAGTTATGGGCTACACAGATGAGTAATATGATAATGTCCATTGTAGGAGACTTAAACCGTTTTATGTGGATGTGCATGATGTATAAGAGGGGACCTCTTTACTGTTACTGAAAAAATAAGTCCTTTTCATTTTCTTAAAGATTTGAACCCACCTCGCATAAAACATGGTGCAAGGGATTTACGATTCATAGAAGAAGAGCTCCCCGAGGTCGAAATATACGTTGGGTCCAAACTCACTGTCATCTCCGAGACCCAGATAACAGTGCGCTGTGTGGTCACAATGGATCCAGCCCCGGCTGTCAGTTGGAAAATTCAAGGAAAGGATTCCGGCTTCAGGGATGATGTGATACTAAGTAAAGACAACTCGAGCCTAATTATCAGTGATCCTGGAGTTGAAGACTCGGGGGTTTATACCTGCACGGCCAGTAACAATGTCGGACGGGACTCGGAGTCTTCAATTATCAATATTTTACGTAAGTTATCCGCATTCCATCATCGTGGCATGGATCACATATTTATCGTAAAGCTGTTTCTGTTTGGGACTTAATGATAGAAGCTTTACCCGGTCCATTACTTGGGTAATATTGTAATACAGTTTTTGTATTGGCTGATATTGGATAAAATTGATCTTCTTATCGACCTCTTTGTGCACTGATCAGTTACAAAGTTGATTCTCTGAGATTATTTACCTTACATGTAACTTGATGAATTATCTCCACGTTGTTCACAAATGTCATGCAACTGTTTCGTTTTCAACAGTGAGTAGCAGAGCCTGGTTTGAGGGTATTGTTGTCGCTGGACAAAAAATTACGCAACGGATAGGGTCATATGAACTCAAGGTGTAAGACTACAGCCTAATCTGGACTCGTAAGAACCATTGCGCAGTTTTTCAAACGTATCCCTTTTTTGTGATCTCTAAGACAGAAGACATTTTTAATTTTCGCACATATTTTCATCTTTACACTTTATTTGCCTTTCTTTTTTTCATAGCTCCCAAACCTCCTAGAATAAAACACTCCAACCGGAAAATAACTTCACTGGAAAACCTGGACGTTGTTGAAGCAAAAATTGGTGACGAACTTACTTTGTTGGCCGGTGCTAATGTGGTGATCACGTGCCCTACATCCGGGCTACCAACTCCGACAGTAAAATGGCTGAAAGATGGTGAAGACCTGTCTGTCAATGGGAGTATACTGACGATCAAAAATGCCAAAACTGAGGACTCGGGCACGTTCACCTGTGAGGCAGTGAACAGGGCTGGTCGATTCAGCTACAACAGCGAGTTTCGTGTCATTGGTAAGTTCGTCAGTAAAAGATTGATTCTGATTTCTTTATTTGAGAGACTGTGAGAAGAGATCAAAATATCAAAATGTATACATAATTGTAGCGGCTCTTGAAAGTGTATGGAAACCAATCAACAAAGTCGATTGAACTGGATAAGGCATTCTTCTACTGAGTACCGTAGATCATATACTATGTTAACCCCCTTTGTGACATGGGTGAAGGACGAGTGCTGCAAACAACACCTTCTCAAACATGCAAGCGACAGTGGCCGCAGAAACAGCACAGAAATTTCTTTGGAAATTATTTTCTTTTAATTTTTGAAAGCTGATTGATGTTAGTAACAAGCGTTTAAGAGCACGGTTTAATGAGGTCAGTATTTCATGTAGCCCCGATCATAAACCACATGTCAATTTTTGTTACTCTTGTTTTTGGTCTAGCCGGTGAGAAGCCGCTAATAGAAACATCGAGGGGACTTGTTATTGGCCGTAAAGAGATCGAAGAAGTAGTCGTCAAGATTGGGCAGTATTTGCGGGTAGTTGAAGGAATGATCGTTCGTCTTGAGTGTCCAGTTCGTGGATTTCCGGCACCCGAAGTGTCTTGGTTTCTGAACGATCGATTGCTGAAGACATCTGGACGGTTCTTGGTTGACACTCGCTCCAACTGGCTGATTGTGGACCCAATACAACTGGAGGATACAGGCCAGGTGTCGTGTACGGCGAGTAACAGTGCAGGCAGTGCCAACGCGTCTTCGTTTATCAGCGTCATAGGTAAGGACAAATATTGATGTAATGATGGTAAGATGGGATGTAAACTAACTATTTTCCAGCAAAAAGTTTCAAGTTAACCGTTCGGCTTTCATTTGATGTCACATTTTCACATAGGCTAGAGCTTGCTACTCAGAAAGCTGTTATATAGCTTAGTAAAGGGAAATGATTTGTAAATAATAACTCGCCATAACTCGAGTCACCTTCTGCCTCAAAACGGACATCACAGCATTTATTAGGCTGGTAAAACGACTTACCTTTTTCAACAATCTATTTGAATGTCGACTCAACTTTTACTTTTTTAGGTGAAAGCAGCGCTCAAATTCAGTTTGGAAACAGCTCTATCGAGTCAATTAAAGGGATTACGAAGATTGCCATTGAGATTGGGGACAGTTTACACGTGCTCTCGGGATCAGACGTATCTATAGATTGCGTAGCCCGCGGGACTCCTCGTCCAGTAATAAACTGGCGATGGAACGGCCGCGATGTGATCTCAGGGTCGAGAGGAGGACAATATGCTACAACAGACATACCTGACGGTTCTCGCCTCAATATCTGGCAGATGCTCGCGGAGAATGCTGGTCAATACGAATGTGTTGCTACCAACACCGGTGGAGAAGACAGAATAGCATCCGCCATTACTATATTAGGTACGTGGTAAGGTTTTCAGCTGCTATACTAAATCCAATCTTCTCACAAACACGTTTAAATCCGGCTTGGCTTCTGCCCCGTTATGGGCTTTGTGTTCCTATCCAAATTAGCCTAAATATGTCGGACTTTTGAAGTCTGAAAAGAATTTTTTTTTATGATTTTCAATAGGAAGCTAGAGTTCAAAGTGTCATATAAATAACATTATGTAACCAGATTGAGTTAAGACGGTTCTGTTACTCGTATTGTTCCAGCTAAAGTTGAGAAACAGGCGCAAAATTTGGCAGGTGTCAATACAAGGAGATGCGATTAATTTCTGTGCCCTTATTTCAGCCTCTAAATGTGCGGCAAAGGGCTAGTACAAGATAAATAAACTTTTGGCAAGTTTTTATGGCCAATTCATTTCTGTGATAGACTTTATGACTTATATTTTCAGTGATAGATCGATTTGTATTCTTTCACGTGTTCCCAGTAACTTAAAAACAACTTTTTACTTTTGTTTTGCAGACGCTACATTACCGGAAATAGAAATATCGACATCGTCCGTGAAACATATACAAAACTTGAACCCAGTCTCTGTCGTAATTGGAACACGTGTCACAATGCTACCAGGTGGTCGCCTGGAGATCACGTGCAGTGCATCTGGAATCCCTGAGCCCTCGATCAGTTGGCTGAGACGAAACAAACAGATTACGTCGTCTGGAAGGTTCTCTATTGTCAACACAACTCTCATTATTTATCCCATAGAGCTGGATGACAGGGGTTCCTTTACTTGTGCTGCGAACAATACTCTAGGGCGGCAAACGTATTCTACTACGTTGGACATAGTAGGTTAGTTTGAATTTATTGTACTGTTAACTAAAAGACTCGTACAAGAACGCAGCTCAGTTTAAAATTATGAACTTGTTATTCCAACACTAACGGTCAAAAGAGTGAGCTGTTATTTCGGTAACTTTTCGGAAAAACGCCGAAGAAGATTAACGAAAAACACCGAAGTATTTCGATCCTCATTAGCCAATCACAAGCGACCCCGAGCACACGGAAAGTTATAACGTCGGTGCATCGTTACCACTGTAAAGAATAGCAAGCCAGATTTTGGAGACGCGACTAGATGAAAAACGCACTTCTTTCTTTTCTTCCAAAAATGCAAGGAAAGTTGAGAAACAAGCATGAATAAGCTTTCGCCTGATGGAGGTTTTTTTCATTCATTAATTTTATTTTTGGAGGGGGTTAGTTTTGTTTCATTTTCTAAACGAGCTGATAGTTTATGCCGCATTGAGTGTATTTTTTAGTGCTCCTTGAACATCTACCCACGGTCTTTGAATTCTGTTTGAACAAAACGTAAAACGTTTTCTGGCATCACCAAGTAAAGACTAGACAAACTAGTGAGACAATCTCAGATAGTGCAGAGCGCAATTGATAGCTCTGATACGGTAGTCCCATAAGTACTCACCCCTGCTCGGTTCACTTCCGGTTTGTGTCTACCTTGGTAGTCTGCTACGGCTTTTCCCCTTTGCAGTGTGTATGT